CCAATAGAAACAAGGTAATATAATTAATCTTGTTTCTGATAGTACTGAAAATTTCATTGCTATGATATCTGAAATTTGTGTCATGCAGACTGATGACTCGTGGTGGGTTGACACTGGGGCAACCAAACATGTCTGCAAGGATGTTAATCTTTACAAGACTTACAAAAGTCTGGAGGATGGTCCAAGCCTGTACATGGAAAATGATTCCATGGTGAAAGTCAAAGGGATTGGACAAGTTGAGTTGTTGCTTACTTCAGGAAAGAAGTTGACACTCACAGATGTGTATCATGCCCCGGATGTTAGAAAAAAAATTAGTTTCTGGCATTGTATTGAACAAGTGTGGTTTTAAACTTGTGTTTGAAGCAGATAGATTTATTTTATCTAAGGTCGGTACTTTTGTAGGCCAAGGTTTCCTATGTAACAATATGTTTAAGTTGATTCGTTTATGTCATGTAAACTATAAACATTTATCTGAGATGGCTAAAGATGGATTAATTCCATCCTTTGATTTAAACATGGAACAATGCAGTGCATGCATGTTAAATAAAATAACTAGGAATCATTTTCCTAGTATAAAAAGAAATTCAATTTTACTTGCATTGGTGCACAGTGACTTGTGTGATTTTCATAGCACCCCATCTTTGGGAAATAAAAAATATATAGTCACATTCATTGATGACTATTCAAGATATTGCTATGTATACCTCCTGCATTCTAAAGATGAAGCCTTAGAAAATTTTAAAATATTTAAATTGGAGGTAGAATTGCAAACTAGTCAGTTAGTAAAAATATTACGTACTGACAGAGGTGGTGAATATTATGACCCATTATTTTTCCAATCTGTTGGTGTCATTCATGAGACTACAGCTCCTTATACACCACAACAAAATGGTGTAGCATAAAGGAAAAATAGAGTACTTAAAGAAATAGTAAACTGCATGTTATCAGTTTCCAGTCTGAGTGAAGGTTTCTGGGGAGAAGTCATGCTAACTGCATGTTATATTCTCAACAGAGTTCCTAACAAAAGAAATAGGGTAACTCCCTATTAACTTTGGCACAAAAGAAAACCAATTATTTGAAAGTTTGGGGATGCAGGGCCATGGTACGGTTGTCGGAACCTAAACGGAAAGCTCTGGGAGAAAAAGGCATAGACTGTATTTTTATAGGATATGCAGAACACAACAAAGCACATCGGTTCTATGTTATAGAACCAAATGACTTTATTTCGATTCATACCGTAATAGAGTCCCGGGATGCTATCTTTGATGAAAATCGTTTTTCATCAATAAATAGAACTAAGGATTTAATTCCTAGTTCTAGTGGGTCCAAAGTTGATGATAAAAAAATATGATCATGCAGTTCCACAAGAACCTGAACTTAGAAAAAGCAAAAGAGCAAGAAAGGAAAAATCATTTGGTGCTAATTTCCAAATGTATTTGATAGAAGGATCAAGGGAGTCTGTAGAGACTAAGAATCTATATTATTTTAATATAGAGGATGATCCTAAGACTTTTGAGGAAGCCACACTACAAGAAAATTGGTCATTAATGAGAGGTAAAATCGTCACTAAAGAATCAAAAACCATCATAAAAGACTTTTAATGATGGGAAATTTACCGTTGCCACCCGTCGTTAAAGCTTCCGCAGTTAAAAACAAATAGTGACGGGATGTGATACCATCATTAATAAGTATATAGTGATATTGTATTTACCGTCACTAAAATGTTCTTTTTATGACAAAAAAATCTCGTCACTAATACAACTACTCACTACCATAATTTACTCTCATTATATTCTTGTAACGATGAAAAATCCCGTCATTAATACTACTATTTACTAACAAAATTTTCCTCATTATATTAGATTTTGCCCGTCACTAAAAATTATAATTTAATGTCAAATATTATTTTTCTAATTTTATATATATTGTTACTTCTCATTAAATATTAAATTTGTAATACATTTTTTCTCACTAATCGATATTATGTTATGTTGTAACTATAGATACTAGCATGGTACCCGTGCGATGCACGGACTACTTATTAGTAATATTAGTGTCGAATTTTATATGGAACAAAATATCTTTTTATTTAAATTTAAAATTTATATGTTAAAAATATAATTTTATATAAGTTGAATTATTTAATTTAAATATCGACATCTAGATGCAAAACAATTAATACGCAATTACCACATCTGTTCACAATGAAATGCAAAGTATTATAAATTTACACATTATTGAAAACTTAATGGTAAGATTATCTAGATTGTTGACTCGAGAAATAACAACGTATAACTGACCATCTGGATTGTTGACCCATATAATTTTTTATTTTTTTTTGAGAATAATTATTTATAGAGAATGTTCTAACATTTATAGTAGATGTTAGATCTTCATTCTCCGCAATAAAAAAAAATAAAATATTATATACATATATTTAATATCAAGTATTATGCAAATTTATTTTCCAACATAGATTAAAAAGTATTATGCTAATTTATTTATCAAAACATTTATACTTTTACCAACTATTTATCAAACTAATTTATATAATTAGTACATCTAATTATCTAATTATATACATAAAAATATTATATTAAAAACATGATTTACTATTTTTTAAATAATATAATTGTATTTTTGTAATATAATAATATATTTTAACTATTATTATTATTATTATAATGTTCATAATAATAATAATACAATTTTTTTTGACTGAAATGTATAAATATGATAATAATATTATATAATGCATATAAATATTCAAATAATAATAATAATAATAATAATAATAATAATAATAATAATAATAATAATAATAATTCACAACATGGTTATGAAATGAAATTGAGATGTATGATCAGCACATATATATATATATATATGGAGACCAAGATTAGTCCATTTCAGCCCAAAAGAAAAATATAGCCCAAGTATAAAAGGCCATTGAACCCGTTTCAGACAACATTTTGCCATTCTTCACCATTTCGCCCTTCAACTTCATGCTCTGAGCTCTCTCATGTTCAAGAACAACCTCACTCTACCCATTTAGAAATCTGTTCATCATCTACTGTTCCACAGATTTAATTTCCGTATGAACAACTATTAATTTGTTTATTCCTCAAGATCAGCATTCGAAGAGCAGAGAAGAACAACTCCTCTACACACCGCCATAGCAGCTTAATGATCGGAGCAAAAAACTTCGAAATTATGGCGATACAGATAGCTTCCGTCAATAAAATGTAAGTTTTGTTTATTTTCTATGGCTAAAAAAACAATTTTAATTCGAAGATCTAAACCCTAACTTTTTGACAAAAATCCAACGAATACAGCTCAAGATCTAAGTGTGAAACATCGCTATATGTACATGCAAACCAAGATTTCTGTCAATTAATTCGTCATCCATGGTTGATACAGAGTGGTTCTTAGATCCGGTAAGATTAGAATATTTTCTTGTTAAATTTTCATTTAAGGTTATTAGATAAAAATCCTAACTATTTAATCTATCACTCAATAATTACTTTCATTAAAAAAATCACAGGAATATAGAAGAAGATCAGGAAAAATGGTATTTTCCCGTACATGCAAACAGTTGGCAAATAGATTGATTTATTCCAGCAGTCACGAAGAAGGACGCGTTAAAGATAAGTAGATCTGAACTATTTTATATATTTTTTAGAATAAAAAAATGCAAAGTTATTATACTATATCTTTAAATGTAATTTGTATTCTTAAAAATAAAATTGAAATAAAATAAAGTTGTGTACTGTATCATAATCAGCATAATGAAGATTAAAATTTTTGTAGTTTTTTCTCATGTTAGAAAATAAAAAGACATTTAATATAAAAGATTATGAGAAACTGAATGTTAAGTACCAAAACTACACTGTTAATATGGTTTAATTGATTCGAATTTATATCAAAGCAAGAGGAAATACAATATCAAAAAAGGTAAAATGAATAGAGATGTAGCCCTTACGAAATTTATACACAGTAATAGATCAACTGACCTTTGTTTTCGGATGATATTTTCCTCTTTCTTCCAATAATAGTGGAAGCTCTTAATTTCTTCATAGTTTTGAAGAGTTCTTCTTAATAGTTTATTATTTTTTAAAACTAAAAAAAAAAAAAAAATACAATACATTTTCATGTTCTCTCACCTTGTATTATAAATTTTAATTTCTTTATACATTTAAAAACAAAAGTAAGTACATTTGACCTGAGGTGATAATATTAATAGGTTTGCTGCAAGCAGATTCTTTTAAAGGCAAAAAGTGGAAGCTTTAACATGAAGGTAAATGTTCAATAGAACTTATAATTTATTGCACTGTAAATCTCTTGTGTGTTCATGTTCATTACCTCTTTACTTATTTAATATTTTTTGATGTGTTATATTGAATATTTAAAGATGACATGTAATTGAAAGTGTTCTGCATCTGTTATAGAGTGATAGAGTGTGTTCTGTTTACTCCTAAATTTTCATGTTTTTTTTTTTTTTTTTGTGGCATTGTTTACTTAAGTTTTTATATTATGATATACTATTCAGCTACTCATCTATTTGAGTAAATACTAACATTTCAAAATAGAAGCATTTTTTTTTTTTTGTGATTTTATCAATCTGGTTCATCTATTTGAGCAAATACTAACATTCCAAAATAGAGACAATTGATGGAGTTTTTTTTTCTGGATTTTATCAATCTGGTCTTTAAAATGTTACATGTTTTTTTAACTTTTTTTGAGGTGGCAAAACTGTGTACTTGTAAACTTTTATATATAGATTCAATATATATGTGAATGTTTTGTTCTGATTCCTATATTTGAACAAATACTAACACTTAAAAATAGTGGCAAGTGATGATATAGGAATCGGATGCCATTTTTTTTTTTTTAATGTAGAAACCTATGACATTCCTTTCTAACTTTCTTCACATTAGAATAGTAATTACATTACATAGAGTTTAAGTTCCCTTTTTTCCAGCTCTTATCAATCTGTTTTGCTCTATCTAGATTAATAGAGTAATTGCAAATATGACTTTATAATCATAAGTAGCATAGAAGGCTTAGTACACATTAGAAGGCTTAGTACACTACTAAGAAACATTAACTGCTACTGCTAAAGCTAAGTACATTAGGCTATGCTGCTAATGCAGCTTTCACAAAACTAAGAGCAAATCAGGAAAGTAGAATGGATCTACTTGGTAGCAGTAAATTGCAGCCTATGCACATTTTTAGCCCTAACCAACAAAAACCAAAACCAGCAAAAACTTTTCTTGACTACTTTTCTTTCTTCACCACCACTTCCTTAGCCTTCTTCGATGTACCAACATTCTCAAAGTCTTTAAACAAAGACCTCTTGAGAGGAACATCATTAGCACCAACACCTAAACCATCTTCAATCTCATCCAAGCCAGCAAATTTGTCCATAGATAAACCTTGAGACCCATCCTTCACCACAACACAGTCTTCATCATCACTACCATAGAATTCCTAAACAAAATATGCTTAGGGACAATAAATAAAACTATTTTTTAAAAATTAACCAAAACATAATTTACAGAAATACCTCTGAACATGCATCACCATCTGCATCCCCATCCTGAAAACCATTTTCATGAACAGAACCATTTTCTGGTTCTAAACTGGCAACTGAAAGACCTAAGCAGTGCTGTGTAAGCACTGCTTCATCCCTACAAATCCTTAGGACTGTGAAAGAAGAATAGTAACTCTCTATTCTGCTCCTTCTTCATAGCAACACGAAACAACATAGACATGTCCCGCAAACAACCTAGCTCAGGTGGAATACACTTATTCCCCTACAAAGATTTAAAGGAAAAACACATGAACATTTAAACTACTATCCTCAATACCCATCTATGTTGTCTAAGTGTTGATACCTACCTTTGGATACTTAGCTTTTAAATCACCAGCTAAAACACCTACCAACTCTGCACACTCACGATCCCATAAAAGCATAGGAGCATCCCCAGTTTGATCAGCCACACGTATAATCACCCTATATCTCACAACTCCCTCATGCCAGGAACTTTTACAGCCACCACAGTACATCATACCACCATCAGCAGCAACCTTTCTCCTGCAAGAATTACTCTTGCAAGAGATGTAATGCCAGTCACTTAAACTCTCTACATCCACAATTCGTCCTGCCACCCAATACTCCCCTAGCTGCAAGTAATATTTAGGTAAATAAGTAACTTAGCTAAAAAAAGGTAAAGGTGAACTAATGTAAATGGTCTTGAACCTTAGTAAATAAGTAACTTAGCTAGTGACATTGCATAATACATTACTTGTTTTTTGGAGTATATATCTTGAATAGAAGTAATCAGCACATCATTAGCGCGCGCAGCACGCCCAAGATAAGTATCAGATAGCCTTGATTCAGAATCTATACACCGTAAAGGTGTATGGTCACTGTTATAGCTACTAACAGAAATTAGGAAAATGTATGTTAGTACAGAAAATTTATATTTCTTTAGAATAACAGTAAAAAGAGGTTAAAGAATCTGACCTGCTCCTTAACTCACGAAACTCTTTGCAAGAGTGTGAGAAAAAAAGCTGAGTAGCACCAAAGGAGCTGCAGATACGTACTTCACCATCTGCAAAAATGATTTTAGTCAATACAAACCTTGATAAAACTGAGTAGAAACATATATGTAAATTAACAAAATAAATACATAGCACTCACTGTCCATGAATTTAGGTCGGCACAACTGAATCAAAACAATGACTGGATCATTAGCAACTGAGTGGAAGTAAGGAGTTACTTGATCCACATGCTCGTCCCACAGTGTACACTTAATTTGCTTCTTACTACAAAAGATTTTAAAAACAGCAGAAAATGGTTAAGATAAAATTATAAAATCAACATTAGTCAAACTTAGGGATTAAAAATAGAGTAACGAATCATACCAAGAGTCTTCAAGCACAAAGTCAATAAGCCTACTCTTTTTCCCCGCTATTGTCTTCTCCAGTGGTGAATATATCTCCACAATACGACCAATCACATCTGTATTTCAAAACAGCACCATATTAGTATATTAGTTAAATAAAGATTAACATCTCTTTTCTTGTTGTAAACTGACTGCATTTAGAAACAAATAGTATTAACACTAACCTATCAACACTTTCTCATCAATTCCTTGCTTTGAAAGTATGGCTTCAAAACTTTTGAAGCAAAACATTGTTTTTGGGAAATTAACACGCTTGTACTCCTTCACCAGAGTATCATGTTTGAATTTGATCAGGTAACGGTAACTGCTTGTTTTATATTTGAAGAAATTAGTGATGCATAGAAAGCTTCTAATGGCATACACTTTACCCTCTTTGAATATGTTCTTATACTTTGGAACAATATCCTTAGGTATGTGGACATGGATGAAGACACCCTATATTTAAAACACACCCAAAAATATCAAGGTGAGATATCAGTCAGGTCAAATGGATAAGAAATAACACTACAGAGCATGCTAAGCTATAATTTACAAACCTCTTGGTCATGAAATAGGCATTCCTGACTTCTTATTAATTGTTCATCTTTGATTTCAGTCACAAGATAAGATCACACACAACGCAATCTTATAGCCTTGGTGCTCTGCTGAGGATGAAGCTGCATCCCAACAATAAACTGCCCAGACATTACCACACTGCACTCCAGAAAACTCACCTCAGTACCTTAATCTTCAAATTCTGATATTCCTACTTGTAATCTATTTTGCAGAGCTTTGTGTTTGCATATCCAAGCTTAGAATGTGAATGTATTTATAAGCGTAGAAGTAAGCTGAGAAGTGTATAAAATATTTCAATAATTGTACTTTTAAGCACTCCCATACCTATTTAGGTTTTTCTACACGCTTCCTAAACAAATTAGACTACTAACTCTGTAGTAGGTAGTAGATAATATCCAATAGCCTAAAATCTAGGACTAAAATCACACGTCTCTCATTACAATCAGATCAGGCGGGAGAAGCAAAATTTGAATTATCAATTTGAAAGAAAAAAAAAGGAAATGATTTAAACATTCATTGGTCCTTTGGTCCTTTGGGCGGGATTTTCCCCCCAAAAGATTTAGCTTTATTATAGTTAGGATTTTATTAAAAAATGCAATCAAAGTGAACTGGACCAATATATTAAATGACTTTATAATCACTATCAAAATGAAATGTTTCATACAACTTTGTAAAAACTAAATCAAAGAAACTAATTATAACAAATAGCCATAGTAATGTATCTGTTGGTTATTTTGCCTCAAGTCTTTTGCATTTAGGTAACCAGGAGACTGCTCACCTACAAACCACCGAAAATCCTGCAAAATTTGCAGCAATTGAAGCAGAGAACAGAATTAGCATAACCAGACACAGGAGCAACTAACATTTCTTACTGGTTTTCTCATAAAGAAATCATGATTGCACTGACCTTGAACATGAAAGAGTGATACCCTTGAGTTTTTAACTCATAGTGGCCTGAAACTTCAAACAATTTGCTCTTGTTCTCATTACATAGACAGAAGCATTTTCCTGTCAATGTAGAAGAACATATTTGATAGAAGTATATAAAAATGTGGCAAGAGAGCAGTAAGGGAAATTCACTATTTGACATACCTAGTCCAATTGGCTTCCTTTGTAAGAGTTGTCTTTGGACAAGCTCCCATTTCAAGTATATGAAATGGCTCATACACCCATATTGAATAGCCACATTAAGAAGATGGTGCCAACATTTCAACCTGTAGCAAGTACACGTGGAACCACAACCAAAATAGAGCAAAGTAATGATAGTTTGTAGTTTTATTTTGACTCAACTTTATGAATATATAAATAAAATAGATAAAGAATACTTACAGTTCAAGTCTGCAGTAGTATACCTGAAGATAGAGACTATTTCACTGCACACAAGATCAAAGTAGCTAGTTTTAGCATTTGACAATCAAAAAGGTCCTAGTGTACTGTTGAAATTGGTTGAATATATTAAATCTCACATAAGAAAACATGATTTGTTAAATTATGACCTCAAAGCAAAAATCACTAAATGTCTCTGTTCTGCATAGCATGCACAAAAGTGTTCTATGAGTAAAATATAGATGCAATCAAAGTTGAAAGAAGGAAAGAGAATCAATGGAGATGGTTACCATCTCTTTGTAGGTGCCTGCAGAATGTTTTTTCTTCAACACTTGAATGAAATCATTGGCATAAAGATGAGGCAAATTGGGCATCCCTGAAACAAGAACAGCTCGATCAGCTCCTCTGGTAAATACTTTTAATTTCTATGATAATGGGCAACATCAAAGATTGTTTATATATATATATATATATATATATATATATATATATATATATATATATATATATAACTGACCAAAAACTCCGGGACCTCCATGATCTGTATAATAGATGAAAATCCTATCATCAGCTTTGCTGTCAACCACTTTTCCACTCCCACCTAAAACCAGTGCCAACTATTAAAGACCATACCATATCCAGAGCATAGTACACTTGCCACTTTGGCTCCTTGTGCACAACTTGTGGTGACAAAAGATAAATGACTTAAACTTTTACACTTAAGGGATTGTATATTTGTCAGGTTTATATCCCGTTGGTTGGCCGACTTAATTTTTTAGCGCAATCAAGCACAGCATAGAGCTAAAGTTTACCCAAAGTCTCCACTCAAAGCTCAACAGTCCACTAATAGTTATGGACATTTATGAATGACTGACAATTTATATATGCAGTGATACACATCAATGCCATCTGTAATCACTTTTCAAAAAGAATTGGGTACTAGGAGAGATCAATTGCTCATTCTATAGGAAGCTCTGCATACTTTATACAAAGCAAGCAGCCAAAGACTACCTAACTTATAGGGCCCAATAAAAGCTTGAAAGGAAAGGTCATTGATATCCAAGGCACTGAATTTGTTGATTTCTTACATAAAGAAACATTCTGTAGAAGTCTAAGTTACCAAAAGCCAGTTAGCCATCTAACGCAAGTGGAAACAACAAAGGTCTCCAAGACAAAGAAACACTCAAAACCACTAGGATATAATTCTTGCTAGAAGCAGGAGAAGAATATAGAAATAAACACAATTTCCAGCACATCATCATAAAAGTTCACCTGAATATGCATTTGGCTTTGCCAGCTTCAATTTAAATAATTTTGAACAATAGAAACTGCACTTGAACAATCTCTATAGTCCATTCTACCAGGCCAACCCCTTCCAATATGCTCAATGCTCTACATTACGGTTACTTATACAATTCATCCAACTACTTCTCAACATATATCTACACTATGCAAGGAGTATACAATTTCATCTTTCATTATAACATTAACAAAAAGAAAAATATTTAAGACTATAGATAGGATGATGAAAGAGTTACCTGGCATGCCTTTCATAGAGCAAAGAGTCTTTCTCCAGAACAAAGCTGAAGAAACAAAAAAAAAAAAAAAAAAAAAAAAAAAAAAAGTGAACCAGAATCTGTTATAGAGAAAAAGAAGTATCACACAAGCAAATAAAATATTTTGAGGAAGCTATTACCTTAATTCATCACTCACCCCATATGCAAAGACAATATCTTTAAACTCCTCCACAGAACCATGAGCATCACAGAACCTATGAAACATATAAGTATTGAAATATTTCAGAGTTGCTGCACAAAAAAAGTCGCATTATGAGGCACCACTATTGGTTAAATATCTTTTTAAAAGCCTATCAAGCTAAGAATAATATTCACTCTCCTTATTTAAAGGCTTGCCAAGCTCCACTGTCCTAATTTTTTGCAAATAATAATCCAAAACTTTGCTAAGAATGAAAAATTCTAGGAAATCAGAAAAGAGAAAAAGAACAATCACAGTGTTGAATCAAAACCCTGGCTGGTTTTGACATAAATCCTTACGAAGTCAACTCCTATGGTGCTAATGTAGTTGTCAATGTATGAATCGTCCTGAAATAAACAACTATAGAACATCATTATATTATAGCATTTTTTCATAGCTAAAAATCTAGCCTTTTTCATTAACCCAAAAAAAAAAAAAAAAAACTATCAGAATTCAGACACTACTTCAAGATAAGCACATTTACGTACACATACGTAAATCATACACCTATATAGACACCGTATACGTATAGATACAAAGTAGAGAGCTGAACATACAGCGAATCTGATAAGCAGGCAGGACTATGAATTGTGACATGGATATAATTGTTCAATCAAGTAAATATAGTATATTATCCATTAAATAATTGCAATTCAGTTCAATGAATTGTGACATTCAAATAGAGCAACTACTCTGTATTTTAAAGTTTTAGATATAACAGAAGATTTTTATTAATAAGATGGAAATTAAAACAAAGTTCTACTATTTGTCTGCTTTGCAAAGAGAAATAAGGCAGTAGGGAATCCCAATTTGAAAAGCATTCTTGTAGAACTCCCAAGGCATATAGGCAATATGAAATTCATAGCAGCAAGGACAACTACTGATAATCAAAAGATATTTGTAGAACTTCCAATTTGAAAAGCATTCTTGTAAGTGAAATACTAAGACTTAGAAAGAGGAACCAATTGAATTCTACAAGGGATTATAGTGTCCTACCAACTGTAAGTAAATTTAGTTAGCCTAGCTGCAAAGCTGGCTCAGAAAGAAAAGAAAACCAACGAAGAAAAGTCAAGAACTCTGGAATCCCCACCTTCACTGCATCATTTTCAAATTACACAAAAACATAAGCATATAACAGAATGAAGAAAAGAAAAAATCTTTATCATGTATTGATTTCCAACAAACCATACCTCAATCGAAGAATCCCAATACGCTCAATGAGAACCCAAAAATGGGGAAAATAACCAGCAAAACCAGAAATAAACACGAACCTCAGTCGAACCAGCTTCAAATTCCAACAAATTAGGGCTCAATTAAAGTTGTGGCTCACTCAGGGAAGGAGACTTGTAGTCGTAGGGGTTAAGTGCGGCGGCGTCGTTCTTCAGGCAGGCGAGACGTTGGCTGTGGCGTCTTCGTAGGGGAGGCAGTGGCAACGCAACGTCGACAGTGGCGTCGGATCGGCGTCTGAAGCAATCAGCGGCGGCTGTGGCAGTGGAGGTGGTGGTTGCGTGGTGGTGGAGTAAGATCTGAGAGAGTGAGAGGGTGTGGAGGGTGCAGCTATAACAAGAGGGCGCCCACAAACAAAATTTGGGTGGGAATTGAATTTTTGTGAAATAATTTGTAGATGTCAATAGTGAGAGTAATAACATTTGTTGTATCAATAGTGAGAGTAACTTTTTTAAATAAATATATAATTAAATTTTCGTCACTAAATCATAAATTTTTAGTGAGAGTAATTTTTAACCCTCACAAAAGTTATGCAAATAATACATTTAGTGAGGGATTTTTCTACCCGTCACTAATTTTTTGTCACTATGTGTTTTTCTTGTAATGCCATGAAATCTCAAGATGTTGCTTTCTGGAGAGAAACAATAAATGATGAGACGGATTCTATAATAGGGAATAATACGTGGATTTTAACTAATCCACCAAATGGTTGTAAACCGATAGGCTGCAAGTGGATTTTCAAAAAGAAAATGAAGGTTGATGGTACCATTGATAAATTTAAAGTCAGACTTGTCGCAAAGGGCTTTAAGCATAAATAAGGAGTTGACTTCTTTGACACTTATGCTCCGGTAGCAAGAATTGCTACTATTAGATTGTTAATTGCCATTTCGGCTATACACAATCTAGTGGTTCACCAAATGGATGTTAAGACAGCATTTTTAAATGGTGAATTGGAGGAGGAGGTTTACATGAAGCAACCAGAAGGTTTCATGGTTGCAGGCCAAGAAAATAAAATTTGCAATTGATTAAGTCACTTTATGGCTTAAAACAAGCCCCTAAGCAATGACATGATCGGTTTGATCAAGTGGTGCTAGCTAATGGGTACAAAATAAATCAGTCTGATAAATATAATGCATCTACAACAAATTTAATAACCAAGGACAAGGGGTTATTATTTGCTTGTACTAGTATTTGCACCCGTGCAATGCACGGAATGAATTTGTTAAGAATATATGAATTTATATATAATTATTTAAATTAGAACATCAAATATTATATAGTGCACTTAAAGATATGGTTTAGATCGTTTATATATATTTGAATGATATCATTTCTTGAATTTGTGCAAATAATTGCTCAAATTAATAGCTAATGTCTAGATGTACGCATGCGGTGTTATAACTTTAAAGATTTTATCTATCATTGTTTAGTACTTTCATAAATTAGGCAAATGTGCTCGTACTCTAACAACTCAGTTATAGAAATGAATTGCTATCCTTATTCATTTGTATTAAAGATATATTTTTTTGTCTAGATATATAACAATTTTTTCATTTAAAAAAAAATTAATATCACCGATTATATTTACACATTATTGAAACAACTTTCTAGACGACATTGCTAGTGGCAACACAATCTTGTTCATCTTCATCTAGAGCTAACACCTTCAATCCAACATGACGGGTTACTTGGGTGAAAATATATAATGGTAGAATCTCAATTAGTTATCCTTTTATATTTTCAGTCAATTAGTCAATTAGAATATCAAATGCAGTGATATTTTTACATAATTTTCGTTCCATTTTTAATTGATGATATAGATATTATTATTGAAATATTTCCATTCTTTACTTTTACTATTTTTTAAAATATGCATTTACTATTGATAATGTAGAATATTATTATTGAAATATTTTCCTCCAATTTTTAATTTTTATTCCATTTTTAATTAAAATGTAATGATCTGACCATTTTTTTCTTGTTTTTTAGTCAATTATGGATCATTTTTTATTTGCAGTCAATTATTAATATTCATTTCCTCTTATAATTTCAGTCAATTTGTAATATTAGATTCATTTTCAGTCAATATTTCTATTCTTTTTTATTTTTAGTCAATTATTCAATTAGAATATAGATGCAATGATATTTTACCTAATATTTTCGTTTCATTTTTAATTTTCATTAACTATTTATAAATAGTTATGCTGTGAAACCGTGTCCACATTGCAAGGTGGACATAATTCTATTTTTCATAATTACTGAACTATATGTTTATAATTATAAAACTATATATTCATAATCTCTGAACTTCATATTCATAATTATTGAACTCTATATTCACAATTACAAAACTCTATGTTCATAATTATTGAACTATATGTTCATAATTATAAAATTATATATTCATAATTTGTGAACTTCATATTCACAATTATTGAATCTCTATATTCATAATTACATAACTATAAGTTCATAATTATGTTCACAACACTATATTCATAATTATAGAACTATATGTTCATAATTTTTGAACTATATATTCATAATTATGAACAATTTTGGAATCGTGTCTACCTTGCAAGGTGGACACGGTTCCACAGCATAATTTATCAGGTCAATAATACTAAAAAAAAAAAGAAATAATAATAATAATAATAATAATAATAATAAGAGCCTTTGGACTTCTCAATACTTACCCACATTGATGGTCAAACAATTGTGTTTGTAAGAGAAGTAATATATAGAGGAGCTCAAGAGCTCCTCTTTCCAAACATTTTCAATATGGGATCAAAATGATCCAACATCATTTACAAAGGGAGCTCGTGACTCCCTTTTGTCTTATTTTTTTTTTTTAATTTTAATTTTATTTTGTATATTGTTTTGTTTGGATGATGATGATTATTATTATTATTATTATTATTATTATTGTTGTTATTATTATTATATTATTATTATTATTATTATTATTATTATTATTATTATTGATAAATTCGTCAAAATTTTAACGAATTCGTCATTTTAACATTTTAAGTTTAATCATAACAACAAAAATTTTATATAATAACTCAGAAATTTGCTCCAAACTACTAATAACTAATACAACACATACATATTGGGTTAATCTTTACCAATAACTATTACCAATAATATTACCAATTAATAGATTTTGATTAAAGTTATAACTATTACCAATAATATTATCAATTATATTATATTATAGAATATAATACCATATATAATATTACCAATTAATAGATTTTATTTAATTTTCATTTGAAATTTACTTACCAAATAAGTTTTGAATCTCTATATTCATAATTACATAACTATATGTTCATAATTATGCTCACAACACTATGTTCATAATTATAAAACTATATGTTCATAATTGTTAAACTATATATTCACAATTATGAACAATTTTGGAATCGTGTCTACCTTGCAAGGTGGACACAATTCCACAGCTTAATTTATCGGGTCAATAGTACCAAAAAAAAAATCTTTGGACTTCTCAATACTTGCCCACATTGATGGGCAAGCAATTATGTTTGTAAAAGGAGCATTGCTCCTCTTATATAGAGGAGCTTAAGAGCTCATTTTCTAAACATTTTCAATGTGGGATCAAACGATCCAACATCATTTACAGAGGGGGGTCCGTTGCACCCTTTTGTCTTCTTCTTATTTATTTTAGTTTTAATTTTATTTTGTATATCGTTTTGTTTCGATTATTATTATTATTATTATTATTATTATTATTATTATTATTATTATTATTATTATTATTATTATTATTGTTATTATTATTATTATTATTATTATTATTATATTGTTATTATTGTTATTATTATTATTATTATTATTATTATTATTATTATTATTTGTTGATAAATTGGCCAAAATTTTAACCAATTCGTCATTTTAACATTAATCAAAACCCCCCAAAAAATTATAACTTTAATCAAAACCCCCCAAAAAAATTATATAGTAACTCAGTAATTTGCTCCAAATGACTAAAAATTAATACAACACATACATTTTGTGTTAATCTTTCACAACCCCCATTAATAATAAATAAATAAATAAATAATAAATAAATAAAAACTAAAATAAGAAGACAAAGTTGAAGCTTCTTAAATAAGAACCTTTTTGATATCTCAATACTTGCCCACATTGATGGGCAAGAAATTATGTTTGTAAGGGGATCATTGCTCCTCTGATATAGAGGAGCTCTCTCTTTTCAAACATTTTCAATGTGGGATAAAAATGATCTCAAAATCATTTACAAAGGGAGTCTGTGACTCCCCTTTGTCTTTTTTGTTTTTTTGTTTTTTGTTTTTTGTTTTTTTTTTTTTTAATTTTAATTTTATTTTGTATATAGTTTTGTTTGGATTAGTATTATTATTATTGTTGTTGTTGTTGTTGTTGTTATTGTAATTTGATTATTTGGAAAATTCGTCAAAATTTTAAGAAATTCGTCTGTTTAACATTTTATACTTTATCAAAACACCAAAAACATTATTTAATAACTTAACAATTTGCTCGAAACTGCTAAAAACTAAAAAAACTCATTTACATTTTTGGTTAATCTTTCTCAAACTCCCTAATAAATTAAAAAAAAAAATTAAGAATTCATTATGATAAGTTTTTTAAATAAGAGCCATTTGACACGTTGGGTTTTAATAGGTTGTGGAACCATGTCCACCTTGCAAGGTGGACACAGTTCTATGTTCATAAATACTGAACTATAAGT